GACGACGGAGGTCGGCGGCCGTGTCGTAGCACCACGCCGTGGCACCGCGTCGTGGAACCACGCCGCGAGACCACGTCGTGAAGCTACGACGTGACACGTCGCGGGGGGGTCTGCGTCGTGAAACCCCCGCGGCGAGGGCCTCAGGGGGACCACGCCGTGAGATAACCACGGTCTGGGGAGCAGCCTCCACGGGCGTGCGATGTCCTGCTTTTTTCTCGGCCGCACCGTGGTGTCTGGTCCCGGTTGGGATAAGCATGGCCCCGCGTTCCTCCCCTCCTCCTCCACATGCCCCCCCTCCTCCCGCTTCTGCCTTCCGCAAGTCCTCGTCGCTATCGTCATCGTCACCCCTGGACACGCGAAGTCTCCTTTTTTCCACCCGAACCATCCTGTGGTGTTGGGTCCTCGTTTGGCGTAGACAGCGGACAGCCTCTCACCTCATTCCCGCCGCTCTCCTCCCTCATCGCATCCCTGCCTCTGCTCTCCGCATGCCCATTTCGTCACACCCCTCAAAACTTAGTGGCCCCGTAGGGAGCGCCATCGAAGGCCCCAGCGGAAGGGTCCACATGTGGGCGTCACCACCGTTTGAGCGCACACCTCACGCGCTTCGTGGCCCGACAAGGAGGCCCACCTAAGGCCTCAGTGGCAGGCCTCGCATGTAGGCGCCACCACCGATTCGGCACACCCCTAACACGCTCCGTGGCCCCATCAGGAGCTCCACCTAAGACTTCAATCGCAGGATCTGCATGTGGGCGTCACCACCGTTTCGGCGCACCCCTCACACGCTTCGTGGCCACATCAGGAGCTCCACCTGAGGCACCAGTGGCAGGGTCCGCATGTGGGCGTCACCACCGTTTCGGAACACTCCTCACACGTTACGTGGCCCCATAGTGAGCCCTGAGGCCACAGCGGCAGGCTCCGCATGTGGGCGTCACCGCCGTTTCGGCACACCCCTCACACGCTTCGTGGCTTCATCAGGAGCTCCACCTAAAGCCCCAGTGGCAGGCTCCGCATGTGAGCGCCACCACTGTTTCGGCACACCCCTCACACGTGTCGTGGCCCCGTACGGGGCTTCACCGAAGGCCCCAGTGAAAGTCTCAGATGTGGGCGTCACCACCGTTTCGGCGCACCCCTCACGCGCTTCGTGGCCAGCTCCACCTGAGGCCCCAGTGGCAGGCTCCGCATGTGTGTGCCACCGGTGTTTCGGCACACCCCTCACACGTGTCGTGCCCCCGTAGGGAGCTCTCAACCTGAGACCCCAGTGGCAGGCTCCGCAGGTGGCCGTCACCAACGCTTCGGCAAACGCCTCGTACGTTTCGTGCGTTTCGTGGCCCCGTAGGGAGCTCCACCTGAGCCCCAGCGACAGGCTCCGCATGTGGGCGTCACCACCGTTTCGGCACACCCCTCGCATACCTCGTGTCCCCACGGGGATCGCCAGCGTGCCGACATGCACAACCACGTTACCCACAATTGCATATGATTGGGTCCTTCGCCGAGATAGTTGGAAGACGGTCTCCGAAGTCCCGACCCTTTGACTTGGCTGGATTTTTACCGAGTCGTTATTTTCCAAACCATCATGTCGTATTGGCCCATCCCTTCGAATACGCATCGCCCCGCGTCTCCTTCCTCATCCCACTCTCCTCTCCTCTCCTGCTCCCTCCTCCCATCCTTGCATCTGCCCGCCACATGTCCATGTCGGCACACCCCTCACACGCTTCATGGCACCATGGGGAGTTCCACCGAGAGCCCCGATGGCGTTCGCATGGCGGTACCGCAGCAATTCCAGCACACCCATAACACGTTTCATGGCCCCATGGGGAGCTCCACCGAAGGCCCCAGTGGCTGCGTTCACACAGCGGCACCGCACCCATTGTCGGCACGCACCTCAAACGTGCCGTGGCCCACCAAGGAGCTCCACGTGAGGCCCCAGTGGCGGCTGCTTTCGCTCGGCAGACCCGCACCGATTTCGGCATACCACTCACACGCTTCGTGGGCCCAGAGAGAACTCGAATGATGGCCCGATGGTTGCGTGCGTTCGCATGGCGGCACCGCGCCCTCTTCGGCACACCCCTTCACACGCTTCGTGGCACCATAGGGAGGTCCACCGAGGGCCCCAGTGGCTGCGTTCGCATGGCGGCACCGCTTGATTTCCGGTACACATCTCACACTCTTCGTGACCCCAAAGGGAGCTCCACGGAAGGCCCCAGTGGGTGAGTTCGTATAGCGGCACCGCGCGAAGATCGGACACCCCTGGCACGTTTCGCCAGACCCCCACAAGGGGCTGCTCGAGCACAGCTAGGCCGAGGCTCCGTACCCGTTCGGGCTCCACCGAGCCATGCTCCGCCTCGCTCTACGCCTCCTCCGTCGGCGCCTGCAAAGTGCACCGGGCCTACCGCGCCGCGGCTCGCGCAGCCGTCCCCGGTTGGAAGCGCAGAGCGAGACCGAGCAGTGCGCCTCCGTGCCGTGCGATGCTCCACGGCCACCTCCACGGTGGGGTCCTCGATGACAGCGAGAAGGACCGCTTGCGTGGTCGCCAGAAGCAGCACGCCTTCAAGCAGCACCTCTTCGTGCGGTGCGGCAGCCACGGCCTCCTCCACGGCCAGCTCCACGGCAGCGGCGTGCAGCAGCGTGGAGGCGGTCGAGGCGGGCATCATTGACTTCATGGAGGGCGCCTTTGAGCAGTATGCGTGCGGTCCGTGCGACGTCCACGGCCACTCCAACGTTGGGGTCCTCCGCAACAGTGGGCAACAGCGTGCACATGGCCGTAACAAGCAGCACGACTTCAAGCATCCCTTTTCGCGCAGTGTGACCTCCACGGCTACTCCTACGGTCAGCTCCAAGGCAGCGGCGTGCAGCAGCGGGGAAGCGCTCGAAGCGGGCACCATCGACTACAAGCAAACCTCTTTGAGCGGTACGGTCGCGAGCCGTGCAACGTCCACGGCCACCTCCCCGGTAGGTTCCTCGGGTGCAGCGAGCAGCAGCGTGTACGTGGTCGTCACCAGCAACACGACTGCGAACAATGCCTTTTCATGGAGTGCGACGTCAACGGCCCTTCCCAGTCAGCTCCACCGCAACCGCGAGCTGCAATGGAAGACAGTCGTGGCGTCCAACAGCTGTGGGGACAAGGGCTGGTGGAGACGCAGCTATACTTTGGTGGATATGGCGCCCTCCTTGATGGTCGGAGTGCCAAAGGCCCTTGTAGCCCTAGTGGCATACCACCAGGGGTTGAGCGGTTGCTATACGTCTCTTACGTCTCAAATGACATTGGTTCCTGCTGTTGCGTGCTTGAATAACGAGATACGTCTTCATTGGTGGGATTTGGTTGAAGCCTGTCACACTTTGTTTGGTATGTATCGCATAGTGTCTCGGCGTTCATGGGACCAAGCATTTTCTGCTGCCAGGGTGAGGTGCGCTGGCTGCTACTGTGTAGGGGCCTTGCGTGCTCCTTGACAGCGTTGGCTGAATGGCTCAGCATCGACGGCTTGGCATTTCTCCTTCGCTGAAGGTGTGTTCATGGTCCTATGTATTTTTGTCAGGTTCGCGCATCGTCCCTCATTGTGCTATTGCCTGGTATCGGTATCTGCGTGGCTGGTGGGAAGGAGTGGAATGTCAGTCAATTGTTTCTAGTGCAAGGTACTCGCAATTACGAGATATCGGCTTCGTTCCTCATGCTTCCCGGTCCTGCCATTCATCAACTCTGGGTCGTGGTGTCCGCCTTCTGGTTCGCCTTCTTCATCGGCAAGCTCTGGAAGTGGCGCGTAGCTCTTCTGACATAGACACAAGTCTTCTAGTCCTTCCTATTTCTATGCCCCCACAGGAGCTCCACCGAAGATCTAGTGGCTGCGTTCGCATGGCGGCAACGCGCTCGTTTCGGCAAACCCTTCACAAATGTCGTGGCCCCATAAGGATCATCACCGAAAGCCACAGTGGCTGCGTTCGCGTGGCGGCACCGCACCCACTCCGACACGCCCCCTCGAAAGAGTCGCGGCCGTGTACGGAGCTCCACGGAAAGCCCCCAGTGGGTGCGCTCGCACGGCGATGCCGAACCGAGTTCGACACACCCCTCACACGTGCCGTGCCCCCGATACTCGCCATCGCTCGGACGTCCATTCCCTGTGTGTTGTTCGGTTTCGTGCGTGAATTTTGTTCGCCAAATGGTCAAGGATGCTCCTCGATGGTCCTCGCCGAAGGAAACATGCACACGTCCGAGCGATGCCAAGGATAGCGATCCCCGCCGAAATCCCGAATGGCTGCGTTCGCATGGCGGCACCGCACCCATTCCGGCATACCCCCTCGCGCGCTGCGTGGCCCCACAGGAAGCCACACCGGGGCCCCCGCGGCTGCGTCGGCAAGGCGGCACCGCGCCGATTCCGGCGCACCCCTCAAGCACTTCGTACGCTTCATGGGAAGCGGCCCCCATGGCGGCTGCGTCCGCACGGCGGCACCGCACCGATGTCGGCGCACACGTCATGCGTTTCGTGACCCACCAGGGAGCTCGCTCCGCCGAGGGCCCCACGTGGCTGCGCTCGCATGGCGGCACCGCACCCCCATTTCGGAACAGCCCTTGCACATGTCGTGGCCCCCCGAACGGGCTCCGCCGAAGAGGGCACTCACGGCCTTCTAAATCACAACTGCATCTGGCTGGGCTCCCCGCCAGGATGCTTTCACGGTCCCCGGGGCCCGCCGAGAGGACCCCCGGAGGCCGAAAACGGCCCAGAACCTCCCGTCGTGATGCTTGCCACGGCGCGAGCACGTCCGAGTCTCCAGTGCCGCGCGCCTCGCATCAGCTCCGCGAGCGTGAGGTTCTTGCACTCCTGCCTGGCCACGTCGCGGATGCGCTGGAACGACCTGGGCAAGCTCGCCACCGACATCTCCGCGCCGGGGACGCCCGGGGGAGGGGAGGCATCGCCCTCCACGCCCAGGTCTCCACCACATGCGACGCAGAAGGACCTACCAATATTGGGCGCCCGAGTTATCCGGGGTAACTCGGGTCCGGGGTAGCTCGGGCTCGGATTCCCGAAAAAGGAACCCGAGTTAGCCCTGACCCGAGTTACCCCTGATGATGTGGGGCTCTGGACGCCCGCATTATCCGGGGCAACTCGGGTCCGGGGTAACTCGGGCTCGGATTCCCGAAACACGAACCCGAGTTAGCCCTGACCCGAGTTACCCCGGATGACTCGGGGCTCTGACAGCACCCTGCCGTCGCTCGGACGCCCTTTTCCCGTGCATTCGTCGGCTTCGTGCGCGTTTTCGTCGCTCGACGGCCCAGGCTGCTCCTCGACGGCCCTCGACGAGACCCGGCGCCCACGCCCGAGCGATGCCGCGGCACCAGGCGCCTCCCTCCCCGGGAGCGCGCGTCCGCCACGAGCACCACCGTCGCTGCCCCGGGAGCGCGCGCCCGAGCGAGAGCGCGCCCGCCGCTCCACCGAGCCCGTGCCGCGCGGCGTCGGAGCGCGCGCGTCGCCCGCCCAAGATTGGGGGGGGGTGCAGACTTTACGCACGCCTGCGGCAGGAGCATCGTCCAGGCGAGCGCGCTCCACTGCTCGCAGCGGGACTGCTCGCAGGTGGCCTGGATCCGCTGGATGAGGAGGTACAGGACAATTGCATCGAACCCGACATGTGCTTTTGTCGGGCGTTTGCGAGCAGGCACTCTGCGAGCAGTGGGGCGCGCTCGGGGAAAGCCTGGGTGGTGCCGGCCACAGGCCTTCTGCGTCGTGACGCTCTGGGGGGTCGGAGTGTTCGGTGGCAGCCCATGGGAGCGTCCCATGCCATCTTGTCGGCTCTTGCGAGTCGACGCTGAATCGACGCTAGATCGACGCTAGTCGACGCTGACCGACGCTGAATCGGCGCTATCTGGCGCTAACCGACGCCAAACACCGAACTCAGAGGGCACCCCGATCTCTCGCACGATTTGCTACATAAGGAATGGATACGGAAAGAATGGGGGCGAAGGCCAACACAAGTTCTTGCCCAGTCTGAGCAGTCGTCGAGGACGGTTGCGCACTCGAGACAAAGAGGCGCCTGTCCACGGCGACCACTATCGAATTTGAGTTAACATTTGCTATTGACCATCGTGCAATCAACGCGTAGAATTCGCCGGCCCAGATGGGCCAGAGGCGTGCTAAAATCTCGGCTCTCTTCGACAAGGCGCGAGCCACACCTCCAAAGCTCTCCTCGAAGGCCGTCCTGCCTGCCCCCCATACGCTCTGCTGTTCGCCGAGGTGCTGTTTTCATTCCGCGGACCCAGGCGTCCCGACCCTGGCTGCCCCGATACGCAGCACGCAACCAGTGGCGTGTGGGCATGGAGCTCGACGCGCGGCGCGAAAACGCAGGTTTGGCGCGTTACGATCGCCGAGGCGCGGACCCACACGCCCACACGTGCCGAGCCAAGACGCAGCGGGTTAACACGGACGTCTTTCAACACGGTACGTGCTTGCGTTCCCCAACGGGCGCGCACGATGACGCGCGGTCACCTCTTTGGCCCCGTGCAGTTGGGCACCTGGGAGCCCCAAGGTCAGCTTAGGCTCCCACCTCTCCGAAAAGTCTGCACCTCTGAAAAGTGGCTTCAGAAGAACGGTCAACCGCCGCCAGACCCCTCTCCAGGCGTGCTTTCCAGGGTGCCCTGCTATTCGGAGTGTGCCTTCGCGGAGAGCGAAGCGGCGAAGCTCAGAAGCGATTCGAAAGCGCTGGCGGGCCAGTTACTAGTTGGCTGGAGAAATCATCTCGACGAATGTGTTGTCTTTTTTTTGTGGCCCGCAAGACATTCTTGTCCTAACACTTCCCCGTCCAGCCGAGCGTTCTCCACATGGCGTCGCCAGCGCACGCTCCGACCCCGTCCGCGGGCCCCGCCCTCTGCCCCCGCGGCCCGCGCCCGATGGGCCGGGGGTCCCGGCGGCGGGCCCCGCATGGCGGCCGGGAGCGAGGAGCGGAGCGCACGGACCGGGGATGGACAGGCCTCCTCCTCCTCCTCGTCCTCCTCCTCCTCCTCCTCCCCCTCCTCCTCCTCCTCCTCCTCCCCCTCCTCGTCCTCCTCCTCCTCCAGAGATGAGGGGCAACGATACTGGAGGGCAGAAAGTCCACCCCGAGAATAGCCACCCCGACACGCGAAGCCGTTTAGTAAGCGCACACAAAGATCGGGGATGGACAGGCCTCCCTTTGGTAAAACGTGGTTTCGTGAAAACGACCTCAGGCCCGAACCTGGCGGGCGCGAGCCTGGAAAAGAACGGCCGCGGCGCCCTCTCGAGAACCGAAAACGGACAGTTCACGAATCGGCGTGTCGCTGTTGGGGGTTCTGTCCACCCCTGAGTGGACTGCAGAAGACCTCTCGTCGGATGTCTGGGTGGCGCGTGGTGCTGGACGCGTCCCCTCTCCCGGGATGTGGCGGGCGCGCGCGGGCCCATTCGCGGCAGCGCGGGCGCTCACGGAGGGGGGGGGGCGGTGCGGCAGCCCGCGGGGAGAGCTCGCGGAGGGGCCGCGCGGGTTCCTCCTTGAGCCCCTGAGCCACGGCCGCGGCGGTGTGGGGGGGAACGTAGAGGGCGGAAAATCCGCCTCCCTCCCTCCCTCCCTCCCTCTCCCACTCCCCACAATTAGCACCCCGACCAGCAAAGCCGTTCAGCAAACGCACCCAGAGGAACAGACGAACAGGGCAGGGCTGTCCAGTAAACGCCCAGGGCCGTAGTTACCTCCCCTGCGAAGAAGAGGATTACCAGCCTCGAACGTATCCCTACCCCTAAGATTGACACGCCAAAAGGCGATGACAATCTTAGGGATCCGCCCACAAAAAATAGGGGGACCCCTGAGATCGGCACCGTGATGAGGAGGTGCCCAGCATAGGGATAGGGACATGTTCCAGGCTGGTGAGAGGAGGATCCTTCTGCTCCCTCTCCTCCGCTGCGGGGCAAACCCTGGAGGCCTGGCGCGGCCACCGGGGGCCCCATCCCTTGACGGCACCTCCGCGTCGGAGCCTCGGCGGATGGGTGCGCCGAGCCCGCGCGCTGGAGCGTGCCCGCGCCACCGCGCGGGGCCCTCGGGAGTTTTCCCCGAGCCCCCCCCCCCGACCCTCCTCCTCCTCCTCCTCCTCCTCCTCCTCCTCCTCCTCCTCCTCCTCCTCCTCCGCCTCGCTGCACGCTCTTGTCCCCCGCTGTGGGGAAAAGCCTGGATCAGCGCCCCTCAAACGGGGACTCCACTGAAAGGTACGTTGGCCAGTGACCCAGCGAACCCAATCCCTCCCGATGTGGGCAACGCTGCAATGCCAGGAACATGCCCTAAAGTGTCAACTTTCGGCGAAATTTCAAACTACCCGTTCGTAAGTACCCATTACGGTGCCGTTGCGCGGCAACCGGGGACCCAATGCACCTCGGGTCCTCGCCGGAGTCACGGCGGACTGCCGCGTCCAGCCTGCGCCGGAACATATAGACCTGCGCGGCCGCGCGAGGCCTCTGGGATTCTCTCGTACGCAGGGGGGCCCAGGGGCACACAAATAAACAGACACAGTTTCGTCTTCCACCCCACTCCCCATATTCGCCCACACTTTCTCTGAAAATCGACGATTACTTGTGTCTGTGTGTTTGCTCTCTTTTGGTCATGGCCCCCCGACCCTCCTCCTCCTCCTCCTCCTCCTCCTCCTCCTCCTCCTCCTCCTCCTCCTCCTCCTCGTTCCACGCTCCCGGAGCCCCAGGCCCAAACACGTCCATACCCGCGGCCTCCTGGCTCTCTAGGCGCGGTGTATATGTACCAAGTTCCAGCCCCGGACTCATTCTCGTCACATCGGCAGGCATGAAAGAAGGGCTGTCCCAGCGTGTCGCACGAACCTCTACAGCAATCGACGATCCTAAGGCTCAGATCTCAAATAACTACAACAGGGGCGGGTTGTATTCAAACTGGGAACTCGCGTAACGCGTCCTCACAACTTGCGACCAGAAGATCAGAAAACTCGACCTGCCCAACAACTACATACGGAAGGCCGGTCGTTTGAAACACAGTGTCACGCGTGCTTTGTTTATAAAGTACGGTTTTATAGATTACGCTCCCAACAGCTCCACGGATAAAAAGCGGGCCCTTTCCCAAACCAACTCCGCAACCGCTACACGAAGGGAGGGCGGATCACGTTCAAAGTGGGCATCCGCCTGAGAGCGCCTGACAAATTGTGGCCCTAATCCTAGCGACATTGCTAGTAGCTACACGGATGGAGCGCGGCCCTTGTCCAGAAGCGGATCTCGCTGGACACGTCCTCACAACTCCCACCCGCCCTCTGGGCGTAGGTGGTCTAACGAGTTGTTGTTGTTGCTATTCTTCCACGTGGAAGGGGGACAGAAGTGTGAAGGGGTCCTTATTCGTCCAACATGGCTCCGAGAGGGCCTCCAATGCTCCAAATGGCCTCCACAATGGCTCAAGATAGCCGAAGATGGTTTAAAATTCTTCCGACATGTAGCCACAACACGGCTCCTAGTGCTCTCGGAGCCACCCAAGGCCCAAGGATTCCCCCAAAAGTCCAACATGCTTCGAACACAAAACAGAGAATGTTGCCCTCTCGTCGTGTCGCGTCCGATGGGCTTCTGGGGCCTCAGATGGCCCAAAATGGCTTCTAAACGGCACAAGAGAGCCCCAAGAGGAGGGGCCCAAGAGGGGCCCCCAAGGGCCCCCCCCAGACGGCCCCAAGAGCGCCGCCAGAACGCCCCAACAGAAGATATCGAGGGCTCTTGAACGGGGGTCTGTAGAAAGAGGACCTCGCCCTTGGCTCCAAAAGGCTCCTAAGGGCTACCAAGAAGCCCCCAAAAGGGGGACTCAGAGGTTCCTCAGACCTTCCAAACGAGCCCCTAGTTGGCCCCAAGGGGGCCCCCAGAGAGCCCCAAGAGGGACCCCAAGAGGGCCTCAAGAAGATCAGCGCTCACCGGCGGCGTTTCTGGGTGGGCTGGTGGGGACACGCGAAGCGTGAAGAGTTGAGGCCTCAGGACCCGCTGTCAAATGTCCCGGGAGCTGCACTGATTGGGGTCGGGGATCTGCACGCATGGGGGGGGGGGGATTCTGACCACGCTATTCGAAAGGTCATGGGGCCTGCGGGAAAGCGGGCCTGGACCCGAGGGTTCCCCCCAACACGAGCTTCTCGGCCCGAGCCGCTGCCTGACGGCTTCAGGGCCCGGGAGGAGACCCCCGGGCGAACAAAGCAGGCCCCCTTTGTTTCGGCTGACGCCGAGTGTACATACGAGGTGTTGTTGATGCCGAGTCCTGGGAGTCCTTCGTCCCCAGGCCGCGTTCAAGGGGCCTTCGCTGCTGCGTCTTCATTTAAGGGGAAAAAGAGGCCCCCTCTTATCTGCAGCTGCTTCGAATTCCCAGGTAAGGGCCCAGGGGGCGCCACCCCTGACGACAGCCCCAAAGCGACACGATCGCTCAACCACCGCGCGCCGTGAGCGCTTCAACCCGCAGCGCTGTGCGACGACACCTGTTGTCGCAAAGCACGACGCGAGCTTAACCAAAGCGACAGACAAAGAACAGCAACTCCACACATCGAGCATGGTGGAAATTTGAACCTTCGACGGGGATGCCCCCACGGAGACCCTTCCTCATACTGCTTGGGCCCGCTTGTGGTTCCACGGACGCGGTGGTTGCCTGGCAACCAGATTATATGTTTTTAGCGTTGTGCTCCGAAGATGCGATGTTGACTCCCGTCCGGAAGGGGTGCTACCCACGCCTACGTACTACCGAACGAATGGTATCTGCTGCACTCTTGCAGATCCAGAAACCCGTCGGCGGGGCCAGGTCAACGCCGCCTTGAAGACGTGAACGATGTTTTTCCCCAATCAGTGCTTGCACTGAAGGGGTCCTCGCGGATGTTGAAGGATTTGGCGGAAGCTTCCAGCCGATTTTGGTTGCTGGCTGGGTTCCCAGGTTCCCGGTTCTGGGTTCCCGGTTCTGGGTTCCCGGGTTCCCGGTTCCAGGTTCTGGGCCGATTTCGGAGGGCGGCGAGGTACCCGGGTTCCCGGGCTCTTGGTCGATCTTCTTATTGATCAGTCTCAACATCGATCTCATTACCCACTTCTCTATCGATCTCACCGTCGATCTCACAATCGATCTCACAAGCGATCTCACAAGCGATCTCACTAGAGATCATATGAGCGATCTCGCGATCGATCTCACTATCGATCTCATTGAATCGATTTCACTCTCGGTCTCACGATCGACCTTACAATCGTCCTCACTGTCGATTCCACTATCGATCTCATTATCGATTTCACGATCGATCTCAAGATTCATAGCATTAATTTCCAAATCATCCACTGATTGGGGTTTTCTCCGGCGCAATTGCTGACGCCAAGACGTGGGTCGCTGAGCGATCGTCGCCGCCTGGCAACCGCGAATGGACAGGCCGCTGCCTGCCTTCTACGTCCCTGCACCCGCCGACCCAGTTTGTTCCACCCGCGACCCCCGGAGTCCCGACCGCCTCCCCAGGGACAGGCTTTCGTGCCGGACTTCTGTGAAGGGGCCCTGGGACACACAGATAAGTAGACACAAATAACAGGATTCCCCCCACGTCCCTGTGCTTTCTTGGTTTTTGTCTTCCCCCCCACTTCCCATAGTTTCCCATCTTTTCTGGGGAATCGACGATGAATTGTGTCTGTGTGTTTCTTCCCCTCCTGATTCTGCTCGGTGGTCCCAGGGCCCGTCCACCCGTCACTCGCAAGAGTGGCCCTGGGCAAGACGGGCCTTTGCTGCACGGCCTCGGGGGGGCCGCGGGGAGGGCCGAGTCCGAGCGCGCCAGCCGGTGCCGACGGGGCCCCTGTGGGGCCTCACTTCGGGAAGGGGATCGGTCACAGAATGGATTTAGCACGGACTTGATTCTCCATCAGGATGCATGTGAAATGCGCAGCGTGCTCCGTGCTCCGTAGATCTACGACGCGTTCGACACTTGTCTCGCAGACTCGGCGAAAAAAACAAGTCTGGGGTACATCGATTCGGCAGCTGCTCCCCTACTCGAGCACACATTGTCCCTCCCGCAAAGGGTAGACCTTACGCGTAGCTGAATCAACGGTTCCCAACTGCCGAAATCAACCCTCACACGCTGGGACGGAACAAAGATCCGATCGCCGGAGAAAACGGGGCTTGGCCGCCCGCGCCCTCGCTGGCGCCGTGCCGGGGTGGCGCGAAGCGGCCGTCGAAAGGTGACGACGTGATGCGATGTGTGCCCAATGGTCTGCATGGCAAATGCGGGGGCGACAAGCAGCCACAACCACATCGAGGACGCACCCGGCGGGGGTCTTTTGTAGGGCGTGCCAGCAGTCGCCAGAAGACCCGAGCCAGCTTGGGTAGTGGTCGTGGTCGCTGTGGGCGTCCCGGACGGCCAAAGCGATCAGAACCACAGCCAGGGGTGCCGATGTCGAGGTCGGCGGGTCCTCCCCCCCCCAGGGGACCCGCCAGAAGAAATCGATATTCCATTCTGGCGGTGGTCCTTTGTTGCGCCTGGGCCAAGGTGGCGAAGGCCGAGCAAGAGCGGGTGAACGGCGGGAGCA